GCATGTGGAGGAGTGGGGAATCAAACCCGGTTCTCCCAGATTAGAGTTCACGCACTTAACCACAACACCAAACTGGCTCACTGTCACTACGGGTCTGTGCTGATCACCCTCTCCTTCCCAGCCCCAGTTTCCCTTGCTCTCAATACCCCCCTGCACTCCTCTGGCTGGCTCTTTTTCCCACTACCTTCCGTGTTAAAAATAAACACAGAACCTTTGTTTTTCACCATCAGCTGACTGGTTATTTCTCCGCCGGCCTGTTCTCTTGACACTCCATAGACCATCGCTTCCCCTCTCTGCCTTTGCTGGCCGGCTGCCTTCACCTGCCTTCTAAATTCCTGTATGCATCCGTCATCCATCTTCGGGGTTCCTTCCAGTGTCTCGCCCCTTTTTTGTTCTCTTGGGTAGCCTCTGCCTGCGTTTTTCCTCTTTGCCCCTTTTCCATGCATACTGAACGCATTTGGAATTCACTGCCTCAGGAGGTGGCGGCGGTTACAAGCACGGACGGCTTCAAGAGGGAATTAGATAAGCATATGGAGCAGAGGTCCATCCGTGGCTCTTAGCCACAAGGTCTAGATAGGAACCCTCAGGCTGGGGCAAGGGATGCTCTGTATTCTTGGGTGCTTGGAGGGGGGGGGCAACTGTGGGAGGGCTTCTAGCGTCCTGGCCCCACTGCTGGACCTCCTGATCAACGCTCCCTCTAAGCTGTGGAGTCTTGTGAGCAAAAATCCTGCTTTGTGAGCTACCGGCATTAAAGTTGCGAGCCAGCGATTTGGCCGCTGCATAAATTAGTTTGCTCTGGAGCCCCATCCTTCCTGAGCGAAGACGAAAATGTGTGAGCCGGAGGCTAAGAAACTGTGAGCTAGCTCACACTAGAGGGCACCTGGGTTTTTGGGCCACTGTGTGACACAGAGTGTTGGACTGGATGGGCCATTGGCCTGACCCAGCACTGGCTTCTCTTCTGTTCTTATATTCTTATGTATGTCTTTTGTCCACCCTTCCTGTCTTTTCCATTCCTTCTCTGTGCTCATCCGTAGCCCCTTTCACATCTCCCCCCCCCCCCCCCCCCCCCTCCCAGACACAGAGTGTTGGACTGGATGGGCCATTGGCCTGACCCAGCACTGGCTTCTCTTCTGTTCTTATATTCTTATGTATGTCTTTTGTCCACCCTTCCTGTCTTTTCCATTCCTTCTCTGTGCTCATCCGTAGCCCCTTTCA